GTTAGGAGCTGGGACTGGGAAGAAAGGACAATAGGAAACTTCTGGGATGAAGATACAAATCCATTTCCATAGGATTTAGGGTTAATGTTATGTGATAAGAATGTATCAGATCTCATTGGATGGCCATCTAAGATTTGTATGCTTCATTATACATGAAGTTTAGCTAAGTACAATCCTATATAATAGAAAAGTCTGCCAAGAAAATATTTAGGACAAAGTTGCACTAATAGTTAAAAATAGTTAAGTTGAATTTTATCAGTTTCTGCCACCTTTCTTACCAGCCATAGTATATAAACATCTTTGATCACTTCTTCAGAGCTGTAGGAATTGGGCATCTTGGGTTCTCTGATATCTTCTTTCAAATAAATGTGGAAATGGGTCCAGAAGCTAGAAAAGAGGAAGAGAAGCCCCACTTCAGCCTAAGATGAAGTGAAACATTATAGTTTGGGGAAACATTATCAAAGCATGCAGACAAAGAAGAAATGTCAGCTGATTTTGGTGCCACATGCCTGTAAGCCCAACTCTTGGGAGCTGTAGGCAGGAAGATCAGGGGTTCAAGGTCATTGTAGGCTAATTTAAAGTCAGCTTACACAACACAAGAACCTGTCTCAAGAAAACAGAAGAAATTCCAGCAGCATTGAATTATTTGGGGATTTTCTTTACTACTCTGCTCCCACTTTTAATATTAGCCTGCAGTAGTTTGAGCATGCCCTGCCTAAAAGTTCATGTGTTGGAATCTTAATTCCTCAGTATGGTAGCATTGACAGGTGGGGCCCAATGGAAAGTGCTTAGTTCACAGGGACAGAGGTCTCATGAATGGATCAATACCTTTCTTGAGTGGATGGATTAGTTATCACTGGTGTTCAATCCTCCTTTCTTTTTTCCTTACTCACCCAATTAATCTTCCACATTCTGCCATGAGTTGAAGCACTGAGAGGTCTTTAGCTGCAGCCAAGAAAATGCTGGCACCATGTACTTGGAAGTCCTTGTCTTCTAAAGCATGAAGCAAAATAAACTTACTCCCTTTATAAATTACTAACCCTCAGATATTCTGTTATAGTCATAGAAAATGGACTAAGACATAACCTTTTCCCTCAATTGACCATTTCAACACTGAACTATTTCAAGCACAGAAAAAAGAGAGAAATATAACAATAACACTTGTGATCCCGGCTTCTTGTACAAGATTGAAGCTGTGTTTTATTTTGTGATTAGAAATATTAATAATTAAATAGTTCAAGCGAATGTCTATTTTTTAAAATAAGATTTGCTCCTTTGACAGTTTCCTTAGTCTTTCTGTCATGTATTCTTGGATATGGATTTCCTTGGGGGTGATGAAAAGGCTTGGGGATTAAAGGGAGTGATGACTAAGCTCAGTCATCAACTTGATGAAATCCAGAATCACACGGGAGAGAGATGAACTTCTGGCATGCCTCTGGTGGATTCTCTTAAGTTAATTGAAACGGGAAGACCTGCCCACTATAGTTGGAACAGTTTCATCGACTGAGATTCTGAACTGTAGTTTTCTTTTTTGGTTTTTCGAGACAGGGTTTCTCTGTATTGCTTTGGAACCTGTCCTGGAACTCATTTTGTAGACCAGGCTGGCCTCAAACTTACAGAGATCCACCTGCCTCTGTCTCCCGAGTGCTGAGATTAAAGGCATGCACCACTATCACCTGGCTCTGAACCATAGTTTTAAAAGGAGAAAAAGGTGTGCTCGGAGAGATGGTACAATTGTTTAGAGCATTTGCTGCTCTTCCAGAGGACCCATTAGATTTCCAGAAATCATGTTGGTCAGCTTAAAACCACCTATAACTCCATTTCCAAGGGACTGGAAACATTGTTCTGGCCTCTGTGAGCTCCTGCACATATGTAGCATACACTGATAAAGACAAATACTCATACATATACATAAAAACATAATCTTAAAATACAAAAATTAAGAAAGTGAACAGAGCATAACCATGCATTGTTCTCTGCTTCTTGAGTCTAGATTCAACAAGACTGGGTTCCTTAAGCTTTTGCTACAGTCACTTACAGGCCATAATGGACCATGAGCTACAACTTTAAGCCAAAAGAAACTCTTTCTTCCTTAAGTTGTTTTTCTCCGAGTATTTTATCACAGAAACAGTAGACACAAATAAAACAGAGGGGGCAGCTGCATAGCACTATAGGCAATCTAAGATCTGTGAAGTCTGTACATTAAAGGCTTAAAAGTTTACAAGGTTAGGGCTGGGGGAGGTTAGCTCAGTCAATAAAAATGCCTGTTGTCCAAGCATGAGGGTTTGAGTTTGAGCCACAGAATCCAGGTGAAAAGGCTGGGAGTGGTAGGTACATGCCTGTATTTGTTTGTGTTTTGTTTTTATTTTAATAGCAGTGGTCTTCAAATGGTGAAAGGGAGTGTTTTGTGCTTCACAGGGGACATTCAGCACTGTCTAGAGATTGTTTGGATATAATGACTTGAAGAAAACCTGTGGCATCTATCTAGTAGGCAGAGGCTAGAGACATCAGGAAAGATCCAAGTGTAATCCCTCGACCCTCCAGTAATGTGTACTTTAGCACAAAATGTCAACAGGGTGGGGTTGAGCAACTCAGCATTAGAGTGTCATTGGCATTGTAGTCGAGGAAAATCTCAAGAAGAGACACTTAACCAGAGAAACAGAAAATTATTTAATGAAAGTTTTATGTAACAAAAGCATCTTAAAAATGGAGACTGTAAGACAGATGGAAAAATTTTTATGCTTAGTTTGAGTGAAGAATGAAGAAACATGTGGAAATGTGGTTAGATAGAGGGTTTTAATCTAATGGCAGTGGACTGAGTGGGGAAACCCAGAAAGGCCTGTCTGTTCAGATTGTTCATAGGCTCTTCTGCAGCATCCTGCAGGAAAAACTACTCTGGAACACAGAAGGGTGAGGGCTTCCTTAAGGGAGAGAGGTCTAATTTGAACCACATTTGGGAAGAGGAATACATGATTCTGACTTGGTTTAGGGGGTTAAAAAGATGCAAAGATGGGGGATGCAGAAAAGTGTCCAAATCTTTTTGTATTGTTTTGTTTTGTTTTTGCTTCTGTGCCTTTTCAATCTCCTTAGTTCAAGGTTCTCAGGATACCAAAGTATCGTACACTGAGGTGTCATTTTTTCTGAGCTACCTCCATCTAATTAAAAATACCTCCAACTGCTTATTTTGAAGCATTATTATCAAGACAGTGCCAATTCTCCCAGTCTTTGAGATGTATGATGCCAAAATGCTGAAACTGCACAGAGGAGAGTGTTCTGGAACTCCCTAAGGAAATCAGGAGCATCAGTTTTACAGTTTATTGACTATGTTTTATAGGGTCCTAGACACATCACAGAGCTATAAAATGGAATTCAATTCTTCCATGTTTTGAAGTTTGTAACACAGGCATACAGATCTTCCTAGCAGGAGTAAGCAGGTAAAGAATTAGACTCATATTCAGAACACATGAAAAACATGATCTATAGGAAGAAAAAAAATGAAGAGAAAGCACATTATTCTTATCACTTTCTAATGTATTGGCTGACAGAAAAATAAATTAGTTTCTTATCTTGGTGGTCGCTACTCTCAAGGTTTATTTACTGATTTTTAACTAGCCAGCTAACCTATTTATAGAAGGTCATACCTTTTGTCATGCAAGGTTGACACTGGTTGTGTGGCTCTATTTAATTTTTTTAAAATAATAGCCTAATAGTGGTTAAAAAATAGGCAGTTTTAAAAGCAGGCACAACATTGAGTGAGAACTGGAATACCAATTTTGAAAATTGTGTCACGACTGGGCTTTGATCCCAGCACTCGGGAGGCAGAGGCAGACAGATCTCTGTGAGTTCCAGGCCAGCCTGGTCTCCAGAGAGAGTGCCAGGATAGGCTCCAAAGCTACACAGAGAAACCCTGTCTCAAAAAACCAAAAAGAAAGAAAGAAAGAAAGAAAGGAAGAAAGAAAGAAAGAAAGAAAGAAAGAAAGAAAGAAAGAAAGAAAGAAAGAAAGAAAACCGTGTCACAGTCAGTATTCAAGAGATCCCTTATTATCTTGCAGAGCAGACTTCAAATTAAACTCATTCACATTACCCCAGAAAAATACCCTAGGGAAAACCCCGGAGGATTATCTGAACCATATGCTTTCTGGAAGTCCTCCTCAACTTCTCCAAATTATGGCAGCTGTAGGAAAATGTCACAATTAGTGAATGTCACATGGAACACATTCTTTGACAATCTGAAGATCACAAGGGATATGGGTTCAGTGTAGTTCTTCTATGAGTTTACTAAAACCACCAGAACCAGCCCCTTCAACAATATACTTTCCATTAGGAAGAAAACCAAATTGCATTCAAGAACAGTGGGCACTTGCTCACATTGAAGATGTTCCTAAGTAAAACTCACATCTTTCCTTTTCTAGGGTCCAGACTTTCTGCTAACAGTGCACACTTATGTGAAACCACTCTGTCGGAGAATTCATATGTCTATGATGGGAAGAATTTTGTGCTAATGAAAGACGACACACTGGGAGGAACTTAACTACATAGGAGGGTGGTTGTGAGTTTCTTAGCATACCAACTGATTCTGTCTCAATGTGTGGGTCCATTGAAACATCTGTTTCAAACCACTGTGGGAAGAATGTGGGGGCTGGTCATGGTCCTCTCTCACCAAGTACTTGTTACACAGTCTTGACCTAAGAGAGGGACTCTGGACTGAAAAGGAAACAGAAGTGATCTTGGCATCGTGTCCTTTCACAAAACAAAACAAAAAAACCACATCCTTCTAAATTTTGAAGGGTTTCTTCATAATATGAAAATTCTCCAAATTTCCCTCTTTTGTTTATTTTTTAACTTCTCACCCAGTTTCACTATAGTCCATATCTATGTGGCTAGTCTCATTATCAACATTTAGAAACTGACATTGCTATATTACAGTGTACTAAATCACAGACTTTATTTAGATTTAATAGTTTTCCAACTAATGTTGCTTTATTTGTTGTTCATTCTAGAATCCCACTCAAGACAGCATGCTGCATTTGCTTCTCATTTCTCCTGGTCAAATCTGTTGCCTTTTGATAACTCTCCTCTGCATTTTGCCTAAGACAACAAGCATCACAATGGGGTCTGATGAAGTATCCACGTTCAAGATAAATCACTATGGCTGACCGCACCATGTACTTCAGTCACAGATCCCAAGGGCCCCTGATCTAGGATTGACCTGAATGCCCCCGCCCTGAGGACCAGCTTTCATGGTACCAGAGGCTCCATGCAAGCTTCCAAAGGAGAGAGGCAACCTACAGTCCTACCCAGCTATGATGTCTATGAACCACACCAACAGCCAGCATGGCATGATAACCCTATGGGTACAACAGTGACATGCATACCTTGGTGGTAACCAACAGCTCTCTAACTGGACTTAGGATCCCCTTAGCAAGAGGCAAGGCATGTCTGGTACTGGAAACTTAGCTAACTACTCAGTGCTATTCAAGTCGTGGTTATTGAAGGAGAATCTACACCACTACTGTAATTATCCAGCACAATCCCTGTGGTAGTATGAATGAAAATGGCCCCCATAGGCCCATATGGAGTGGCATTATTTGAAAGGATTAGGAGATGCAGCCTTGTTGGAGTAAGTGTGGCTTTGTTGGAGGAAGTCTGTCACTGGGGATGGGCTTTGAAGTTTCAGATGCTCAAGCCAGTGTCTCTCTCTTCCTTCAGCCTTATAATCCAAATGAAGAACTCTTGCCCTTTCTCCAGTGCCATGTCTGCCTGCAGTACTACCATGATGATAATGGACTAAACCTCTGAAACTGTAAGTCATCCCCAATTAAATGTTTTCCTTTACAAGAGTTGCCATGGTCATGGTATCTCTTCACATCAATAAAAACCTTAAGACAATCCGTAGCAATAATCTACGAACATTTGTCTTTATACCCACAGGTAAGTATAGTAATCACCCCTCATCAAGGAACATTTTCTTTGAAACAGATGGAGACCACTACAGGAAACCGCAACCAATCAAAATACAGAATTTTGGAGCCCAGACCTAAAGTTCAGTGAACATTATGAAAGAGGGGTTGAGAGATTGTAAGCATCAGAAGATCAGAAAGTTTGCTATGAGATTGTGTCTCCTAGTAATATCAATATCTACAACCATAAAATCTCACCTCCATGGCTGCTCAAACATGATCTGAACAAGTATAAACCAGTGGATATGCCACACTGGATAGGGAAAAGCCCATGATGCCTAAACCCTACACAAAGAACTATAGGCAAATGAAGAAAGATGGGAGTAGGAGAGGCAGACTTCCTTAGGGAAGAGTACAAAAACTGGTCTCCAGTGCCAACTGGTAAGCCCTGGAAACACACAAATAACAATATACTAACTGATCAGGTTCTATGTGTGAATATATATGCATGCATATACCAACGCATATAAGCATGCAACAAAAATTAGTGAGAAAAGAGACCATGTATTTGAAGGAGAGTGGGGTGGGATATATAAGAGGTTTGGAAGGAAGAAAAGGGAGAGATGTAATTATATTACAATACCAACTTAAAAAAAATGATTTAAAAGCAAGTAGTTTCACTCAATCCCAAGTGTGGTGTTGCCTGCTTCTCATCCCAGTACTTTGGACATAGAGGCAAGGGGATCAGGAATTCCAAGTCACCTTTGGCTACATATCAAGTTGATGGTCAGCTTAAGATGCATGAGACTGTGTTTCAAACAAAAGATAATAAGCAAGAAAAATGATTTCTGCCATGTGTGGTGGCACCCAGCATTTGGGTGATGGGAATAAAAGGATCAGGAGTTCTAGGTTAGCCTTATCTATGTAGTAAGGTTGAAACTAGCCTAGGTCACAGAAAGACCATGTCTTAAAAAAAAAACAAATAGAAACAAAAGGAACTCTCCAACCTCTCAGTGGTATCTATAAACAACAGAACTGCCTCAGTTGAAATATTCAGTCAAAAGGCTCTTATAGGCTATCTCTTTATCCAATTAAAACTATCACCTTCCATGTACCACCCCCCTTTCTTACAGCAGAATTTCATGTATCCTGGGCTGATCTCAAACTTGTTATATAAGGACGTTCCCAAACTCCTTGTCCTCCAGCCTCCACCTCTTGACTGCTGGCATTACATGCTTGTGACATAGTATCTAGCATATGTAGTGTGGGAATCAAACCCAGTACCTGATATATGCTTGACAAGCACTCTACCTAACGAGCTATAACTCCAGCATAATCTAATAAATTTCTTCTCCATGAATTTTTTCCTTTTTATTTAAATTAGAAACAAGTTTCATTTACATGTCAATCCCAGTTCCCTCTCCCTCCCCTCCTCCCCTGCCCTGCACTGACCCGCTATCCCATCCCTTTTTTGCTCCCAACTGAGGGTGAGGGCTTCCATGGGGGGATCTTCAGAGTCTGTCATATCATTTGGAGCAGGGCCTAGGCCTCCCTCCCCCGTGTGTCTAGGCTGAGAGAGTATCCCTCTATGTGGAGTGGGCTCCTAAAGTCCATTCATACACTAGGGATAAATACTGATCCACTACCAGAGGCCCTATAGATTAAACAGACCTCTAAACTGACATCCTCGTTCAGGGGGTCTGGTTCCATCCTATGCTGGTTTCCCAGCTATCAGTCTGGGGTCCATGAGCAACTCTTTGTTCAGGCCAGCTGTTTCCATCGGTTTTTCCAGCCTGGTCTTGACTCCTTTGCTTATCACTCCTCCCTCTCTGCAACTGGGTTCTAGGGTTCAGCTCAGTGTTTAGCTGTGAGTATCTGCTTCTATTTCCATCAGCTACAGGATGAAGGCTCTAGGATGGCATATAAGTTAGTCATCAATCCCATTATCAGTGGAGGGCATTTAAGTTAGCCTCTCCACTGTTGCTTAGATTGTTAGTTGAGGTCATCCTTGTAGATCTCTGGACATTTCCCTAGTACCAGATTTCTCTTTAAACCTATAATGCCTCCCTCTATTATGGTGTCTCTTTTCTTGCTCTCCTCTCTTCTTCCCCTCACTTGATCTTCCTGCTCTCTCTTGTCCTCCTCTTCCCTCTTCTTCTCTCCATGAATTTTGTTGTTATTCTCATATACAATGTTCAGTTCTAGCTGTTGTGGGAAACAAAGTAAGAGCTTATCAGGCAACAGGAAGAACTATAGTAGGAGAAACAAGGTTCTTGAAACTAGACTTATGGATTGTTAAGGAATGGAAGTGTGGTCCAAACTAGACTTAAATATATGAGGGTATTGTTCAGACAGTTATATGACTATTTCCAAAGAGTTCATCTGTAAACCACCTACCTGGAAGAGGCTAGATGCATAGCATTAGAAAGTAGAACATACAATAGTACCATGGGTATCAGAACAGTGTGTCTGGTGGACAAACTGACAGGTGACTAGTTACATATGAACCAGGATGATGATGAAGTAGTTTGTTAAAAAGAACATGAATTGGCCCATGCTGGGGTCCTGGCTGAGGCTTCAGAGCTTAGGTTCTAAGTACCACAGTCAGGGTTTGCCCATGTGAAAACCATACAGAGCAAGATAGCCAGAGTTCAAACAGTGAGATCCCTGAATACCAAAGATCCTGATTATAAGACCCTGACCATCAGAGTCAGAGTGAAGTAAGAACAAGGCCAAACCCATGTAACATGAGGTTAACTCACCTTCCTTCCTGAACAAGAGATACTAAGTTCCCCTGTGAATATCAATCTATCTCATGGTTTCTCAACCTCAGCACAGGTGGGGGGAATTCTGTAAAGCATGGAGTACTTGGTAACCTTGACTCACAACATGTTCATAGACTCCTCATCTCTAGTTATACCAAGGAAAAGTGTCTCCATGTCTGGAGAAATGGTTAAGTAGGTAAGAATGCTTGTATCACAAGCATGAAGAATACCTGTGTTCAAATTCTTCAAAAACCCACAAAAACAGCCAGGCATGGTCATGGATGTTTATAGCCTCAGCACTGGGGTGGGAGGGAAGAGGGAAGAGGCAGGACAACTACCGGAGAGTGATGTCTGCCAGCCTAACTCTAAGTTCAGGGTGATTCTGTCTCAAGAGGATAGGGCAGAGGGTGATAAAGCAGGACATCTGATGTCTTCCTCTGGCCTCTGGGCAGACACATCTACACACAATTGGATATATCCAACACATGCACGTGAGCATACACACACACACACACACACACACACACACACACACACACACACACACACACACACACTCTCCAGACATTATCCTATGTCCCTTATTGACCTAAAATGAGGCAGATCCACTGGAGGCATTAAGGAGCCTCAATTTTAGTAGAATCTGTGGGAGAAAGAAACTAGGTCAGTTACTTCATCCTAGCAAAAGAAATCAAGAGCAGTGACGTACCTAGAAAAGCAACATGAACTCATTAATCCATTTAAGAAGAGAGAATGGACCTGGCGAGTGTTAGAAACGTTTGCTCTTAAATAATAGAAGTCTCTTGGATGTTAAATTGCTTTGTTCCATATAAACAATATATGTAGAAGGAATGAGTGTGTATTAATCGACTTAAGGTCAAATGTCATTTAGTTATGCAACAAACGGCACATAAAGCTAAAAGAAAAAATGAATTCCTTGTGTTTTTGCAAAGTGAAAAAACTGTGTGTTAACATTAAAATATTTTTGCCGAAAGTAGGACATGAAGCAATATTTTATTGATGTCTCACAAAGGCACTGTGTGAAGTTTTTGGTTTCTTTTGATAATGTCTCCCTAGGTAACTCAGACTGACCTCAAACTCACAGTTCTCCTCCCTCATATGTTTTTGAATAGTAGGATTGCAGGTGTAGGGCACCAGACCCAGATTTTTTTTACTTGAAAATATAAGAAAATTCTCATCATATTAAGTACATTGTTTGGCCGACTTGTTATGTTGTATATACAGAATCAGCCTAGACTTCACTGATGTTCTGTGTGGATTGGATATTTGGGAATAAACTGGCAAGGAGCAGTGCTGTCCAAACACTTGGCTGCTTAGTTCCATGTGGGTTTCATAGTTTTATGCCACATTATAATACAACTCTATATTTTTTTTACTTTTAAAAATTTCTTTTTTTTTTTACATCCTAACCAAACCTTTCTCTCTCTCCCCTCTTCCTGGTCCTCTCCTGCCCCAACTCACCATCCACTCCTCTTCCACTGTTTTTTTCCAGATACAGGCAGACATCTAAAGGACATTGGCAAGCCATGGAATATCAAGCTGTAGTAAGACCAGGCATACCCTCCTCCACCAAAGTTGTTTGAGGTAGGAAAATGGGTCCCTAAAGCAGGCAACAGAGTCAGAGACATCCCCTGCTCTCACTACTGAGAGTCTCACATGAAGACCAAGCTACACAACTGTCACATATATGCAGAGGCCTTAGGTCAGTCCCATGCTGGCTCCCTGGTTGTCAGTTCAGTCTCTATGAGCCTTATGAGCCCAGGTTAGTTGATTCTCTGGGTTTTCTTGTAGTGTTCTTGATCCCTCTGGCTCTTAAAATCCATCCTCTCTCTCTTCTGCATGATTTCTCAAGCTCCACCCAATGTGTGGCCGTAGGTCTCTGCATCTGTTCCCATCAGTAGCTGGGTGAAGCCTCCTCTCTGATGACAGCTGGGGTATGCACCAATCTATGAGTATTATAATACTACTCTTATGCTTGGCAATTTCTAAAATAGCTCCCATGGTCCCTAGCTCCTGGAGCTTATGCCCTCCCTCCCTTGAGTGAGGGCTGGTTTTAGTGGTTTGCCATTGAGTAGAGTGTAATGGGAATGATGGGCTACAAACCCCTAAATAGTCTTCCAAAGGCTGCTACCTTAGCTGGGATTCTTTTCCACTCATTCATTTTCCTCTTTCAAGTAAAAAGCATGTTGTGAACTGCCCTATGGAAAGACCCACATGTCATGAAAGAGAAGGAGGCCTGTAGCCAAGAGCTAATAATGACCTGAGGCCTCACTCAGTTCCACAGTCTGTGAGGAGGTAAATTCTGCCTATAACCACCTCAGTGAACTTGGAAATGGGGCCACATCCACTTGAGTCTTGAGATGGCTGTTGCTTTTATTGCAGCCTGTGAGAGCTTCGGAGCCTGAGGGCCCAATGAAGCCATCTCCAGATTTTTTTGAGACAGTGAGTGTTTTGTTTTGTTGATGGAATTTTGGGTTGTTTATTATGAACCAAAAGATGATTAAGGTATATTCCAGGGCCACTCTACACTTAGGTCTGTGGTATTATAGTAGGTATTCAAATTTAGCAATACCCAGCTATGAGGGAAAAGCAATTGAAGTTAAACTCCAGTTCCTAATGGATAGAGAACTACCTTGAAGTAAGGAGATGGTAAATGGCTGTGCCGGGCAGAAGTTAATGCTTCTGGGAAATAAAAGAGAATTTATCTGTAGTTTGGGAACATAAAGTCTATTATTTATAGAAAGAAAATGAAAAAAATTACAATGTTTAGTCTGACCAATGGGTGAGCAGAAGCAAGCACAAAAAACAAGACATGCTGGTACACATCAGGTGGTTTGTCCATTACACAGTCAGGAAAGGACATTGAAAATAAAAAGATCTAGTGTTCTAAGAGCACCAAGGACTCATGGGATAAAATGGTGATAGTATCAGATTAAAACAAAGCATTTGGAATATGGGTGAGAAAGACACTCTGCTGTCTTCATTCTTTCCACCTACCACTAGTTTTCCTTTCCACACATGGAGCTTTTATAAATAAAGTCTCACTGGCAGTGAAAACAGGCAATTTGTGGAACTTTATAATTCACTTGAAGTCTACAGAAATAATACATTACATATTTCTAAAATCATTCTTATTAATGACAGATGATATGTGCAGACAGGGTTCAAAAGTTCAAGGCACATACTATGGAAACATTCTAAACAATCACTATATTCACTAGAATTTGCCACACAAAGTGTGGCCCATAGCTTTCTTAGCTTTGAGGCTTCACATGAAACAGAGACCTGTTTCCAGCTCCTCATGTAAAGTTGCTTGTCATGAGCACAGTGGCCTGAGTTCCATCCCCAGGTATCACATGGTAGAATAAGAAAACTGACTCCTGAAAGTTAACTTCTGTCCTCCAAAAGCTTTCAGTAAACACACACACACACACACACACACACACACACACACAGAGTAAAATAAAATAAAATAAAATGTGATGATGAAAATAATTTTAACGTAGAAAAGGAGGGTGGGAGAGAGAGATTTCATGAAAGAGACAGACACTGAGAAACAGAAACAGAGACAGAGACAAAGAGACAGAGTCACAGAGAGACAGAGAAACAGAAAGGGACAGAGAGAAAAAGCAGCTGCCCCCTCAACAGGCAGCTCCTCTCCCTGTTCGAGAATCAGGCCAGGAACTTGATTTTCTCTCCATACAGGAATCTGTGTCCGGGACTCAGTGTTCTGAACTGCTTTCAGAACTCCATGCATGTGCTTCTGTTTAAAAGTTGTTGATCTACAAATGCTCAAGGGAGCAGACAATCTGGTTTCTCCCTCATCCTTCCTTCTATTACACCAGAAATACATTTCTGTATTTTATCAAACAAGTGGAGATGGGATTTAGCAGAAAAGCAGCTGATAGAAAGCAAACTATCAACAAGATCAATATTCAGTCCATGTGCATCAGTATGTCTGACCAGATGAGAAAATATTCACACTCAAAAGTCAGGAATCGTGGAAACATCACCTTGAGCAAACCAGGTCCCCTTCCCAGTAGTGGGCACGTTGGGTCGACTGAAGGACTCAACTTTGTGTCCCACTGCCAATGTGGCATCCTTAGGTAAAGATCACACCTAGGATTCAGATGACCAGGATGTTGTCTGGCTCCATCATGACTCATCTCATCATGAGGTTTGAGTTCCTTCACCCATATAACCTGAAGTTTTGAGTGTTTGTATTGTGTTGTGTAATTATTTTAGTATTTCTCACCAGCAAATAATCATTTCTCACATCCATCCCTTACCTCACCTTCTGCTAAGACATGTTCTCATCCCTCTAGTCCACAGAATCATCCAGAACATTCACCTATGGTTTGATAGCACAGAAAGTTGGTTGGCTTTAAGGCCTCCTTGAGGAATAGTCATGGACTTGCTGAGGAGTGTTTGATTCATTAGCACATTCCATTTTAAAAATACATTTTCCAACATGTATCTCTTCTTTCCAAACAAAGGCACCAAGTATTGGTATATTCGCTTATCTCAGGGTGCATATGACCAGCTCAGTTGCTGTCTTCCACTGGTGTGCTGGCTTCCCTTGGCCTCTGCCACATAAATGCTGTATGTTTTGAATTTTAACTAGCTTTAGTATATATAATTTGTTGTTATATGAAATTTAAAGTTCACTGAGCTTCCTGATAAATGTGGCCATTGTGGATCTGCCCTACTGCTTTCTTGCTTCTGATTGGCTGACTCAAACCTAACTGGGTGTGAAAGCTGCAGAGAGAGCTTGGCATTGCAGAGCTGCCAAGACTATGAAGGACTTGATTCTTTTCTACCTGCAGACATTGTCTCATGCCTTCAGATACTATCTCTTTCCTGATTAATTTCCCCTTGAGGAATAGTCATGGACTTGCTGAGGAGTGTCCAGTCCTCTCTGTACAACTCAATACTCTTAGACTCAGGTGCCTGCTGGGCAACTAAACCACTCCTGCTGGACAGTTTTATACATGGCGTGTTAATGCCGGAGCGCGCGCACACACACACACACACACACACACACACACACACACACACACACACACACACACACACACACACGCTAGGGGTGTGTAGGAGGCAGGGATGGAAGAAGGAAGGAGAAAGATTCCCAGAAACTCTTTGTCTTTTTCACCAGTTTCTCCTCAAACATTGTCTGCCTCACCACATGGCCTGAGAACCAACAGAGCCATCTTGGGTGCTGCTCTTCGTTGCGTGCACCCTTTCCACTTGCTCCTGGTGACTCAGGGTTCTCTCTCCAATCAGTCCTTCAGTCCATCTTTTCCATTCCCAGTGTTAAAAATCATGGTCTACAGCCTCCCCACCCAGTTTAGCCAGGAGATGTCATCTATTTTCCCCTCCCAGGGCAACCCATGTGTCCATGGGAGGGCTTACACTTTTTGAGGATCGGATAGAGGTGAGCTAGCAGGAGATGAGGAAAGGGAGAGGAGGGAAGAGAGGAGAAACAGTCGTTGATAAAAATGAATGAAATATAATAAAATAAAATTTTGAATTAAAAAAACATGTTCTAGCACCTCAGGTAGGCCATGTCTCTAGGAATACCATCTCATCTCCTTTCACCCCATTTCCTGTTCAACAGTCAAGAATCTTCAAATAGAGAATCAGACCTCAGTCTGTATTACAAGGCTCCCCCCTTTTGTTTCAAGCACTCAAAGCCATCCAGTAGTTCCCCTTGGATTCCTGGCTAAAGGCTAGGGCTACAATAGAATTCCTGAACTGGGAGATAAATTAGCCAAGGATAAAATGCTATAAGACATTTTGTTGTTGTTATCAGCACTACATGATTTTTTGGCATTCAGCGGAAGAAGCCAGGGATACTACTAAATATCCTGCAAGTCTCAGGACAAGTCCCATGAGAAAAATCTGTCTAGTACCAATGCCAATGTGCTGAGTTTGAAAATCTGACCTGAGGCACAGAGTATCCTCAACTGTTAAAGACTGAGAGTCAGGGAGCACTGTACTTAGCTCTAGCTGGGAAATTCTTTTCCTCTGTGTTGATGAAGACCTTCCTTAGGTACCTCCTTCTAGCTACTGTGAGGGAGGACCAAGGAGTGCCTCCATAAAGATGCTAGTAAAGTGAGCCTGAGTTTGGCTGAAAGAAGCAAGTATCCTTATCAAGTAGCAGCGCAGAGAATAGAGTGCTCAGCGTTTACATACATTCAGCAAATCATACCCTTAATTTAAAAAAACAATGGTGAAACAAAGCCACAGGCATGGATACTTTATATTTTCAACGTCACCAGGGATAGCCACAAAAAATCTTTGAACCATAGATTAGACACAACTAAACACAGAATTTGCAGAAAACATCTCCTGACTTCCCCTACTGCATTCCTACCTTTGCCCCTCACTCCAAGCTGTCAGTCTTGAAGAAAATAAGGACAACTAACGTGCCCTGAATAATCTTGGGTTATATAAGGAATAACACAGACACTGTTTTGATCTCTCACAAAAATCATGATTTTTTTTCTTCTTCTAGAAAAACATCTTTAACATTTGTTAAAATGGCACTGGTCATTTAACAAACTAACATGGGTGACATCAGAATGTGTGT